TTATTACCCATCAACAACACATCAACTTACTTAATTCATTCTCTAACGAGGTGGCAGGCAGAATGTGCCTTGTGAAATTAGTATATATACAGTATACACACCCACACCCACACCCACAACAATAATTCGAAAAACAAAAATATATAAATGGTAAAAATGAAATATTAAAAAGACAGCACGGAAAATGGCCATAACGTAGTGAACAAGAATTGTACAAGTGCAAATAACAACTGTTTTATTCATCCATTACAATGGCCACACATATTCAAAAGCACAATATATAATTAATACACACACACTCGCTCTTAAAGAAAGCATCAAACGAAAAATCAATTCTAGTATATCTTTCAACCACAACATGCAAGCGTGCGGGAGTGGAAAGAATATATATTGATGATGCTAAAAATAGATCATCTCAAGTAGTTGAGCTGGGAGAGCAAAGTGCGTCACTGCTCACGTGCTAGATGGCTCTTAGATACATGCGAACAAAAAACACGTGAACTAGGCCGGGGGTAGATCCGGCGGAAACCCCTCCGACGCTCAAGTCAGACGTGCGGATAGTGAAAATAGTTGGGAGAATATGACCCCTAGTATTATTTGGATAATAGGGCGTACCTTTAGCAAATGAATTATATCGTTATTTATACCATAGATGAGATCGTTGAGCCCAAACCTTATTTGAAGGTGATTGGGCCTCGGTGATATTAGTCTTCAATATTGGGCTCGTGGCCCAGTAGGTAAATAAATTGTAAGTCTATTGGGTTGGCCCAATTAGGCATATCATATACCAAAATAGAACCAAACATTGGTTCGCGTTTAGTTTTCAGGAGATGACGGAGACGATGATTGTTTGGGCATGAAGTGCGAAAGACTGTATAGGATGCCGGAGAAAATAGTTTGCCCATCTCTAGATTCTAGATTCTTATCTTTCTTCCTCTTACCTTTCTCTATATTCAATTGCAGATTCTTATCTTTCTTCATCTTAGCTTTCTCTATCTCCATTTGCAGCTCATATTTTCGGTTATTAGATTCCACCTCATCCAGTAGTTTATCATTTTCTCCTTTGAGTCGAACAATTTCCAGCTGCGCTTCATATACCTTTTTTACGTGCGGTTCAAATATATCATCCTCTTTCTTCGAGAAACTAACTTCAGCGGTTCGAGCATGAGGTTTGTTTGTTTCTCCCTTGTATGCAGATATATCTGATGTGACAGTTGATGAATGAAAAACACTCCCCTCCTCTGGTTTCGAAATCTTTGTAAATCCACCGGCTGTACCTACAACAACATCATGTTTATAACGTTTTCCTTCATTTGTATCTACAACCGTACGTGTATACAGCTTTCCACAATTGTTTTGTGCAACTGTTTTTAATAGGTCTTGAAGTTGCTTCAGTTGTTCAACTTTCTCGGCGCCAGAATGATGATGCTAAAGTTAGATCTCCTTAGATAGTTGATGTAGGATGAGCTGGAAGAGCAGAGTGGATCACTGGCTCACGAGCTTGATGACCTCGAGATACCTTCGATCATAAAACACGTAAACTAGGCCGGGGGTTGATCTGGCGGAAACCCCTCCAACGCTCAAGTCAGACGTGCGGATAGTAGGAATAGTCCAGAGAATATATGTTGTAGTATTGCTCAATTAATAGGACGTAGTATTGCTCAATTAATAGGACATAGCTTAAGGAATGAGTTCAAAACTTTATTTATAGCTTAGTTGAGATCGTGGGGCCCAAACCTTACTTGAAGGTGATTGGGCCTCGGTGATAGTGGTCTTAAATATTAGGTTCGTGGTCAATTATGTAAAGAAATTTAGGCCCATTGAGTGCC